GATAGATAGATAGATAGATAGATAGATAGATAGATAGATAGATAGATAGATAAAGGTAGATACAGGAGCTGTGGTGTGTCTGCTGTGGAGTACTATAAACTGTAGAAAATAACGGCTGTCTCTCCTATGAAATGAAAGCTTGAATTAGGCTGGACCCCTGGCCAGGAAGGCAGTGGGTCAGAACACTTGCCCTGAGCAAAGCCTGGACTCTCAAGTGAGGGATCTCAAAGTAACTCTGTCAGGACAGGTCGGGGTTGGAATAGAGAGGTTCTCGGGGCTCTTTCTGCACTGGGACCTTTGCTCCCAGCTCAGGTAGGCTGACGTTCTTCTTGCCTATTTGTAAGCACAGATGAAGAGAGTACATCGTGGCTGAGCTGCTGCAAGGCCGGAAAGAAGCAGCAAATCGGCAGACCCAGGAGGCCTCTGCTTGCCCCGCCCATTCTGTATCGCAGGAAGTATTGGCTCTCATAGCCCCTCGGACACACAGCAAGGCAGATGCTTCTTAGCTCCCAGCGGAGACCCAGGGAGAGAGATGTTCCCCAACTTCCCTCTTGCAGTCACATGGCATTCTTCTCGTTGCCCCCTGAGAAAGCAGTGGGTGTGCCTGCAGCCTCCCTTCCCTCCCCCTCCCCCACTTCCGAAACCCAGGTCAGAGCACCGGCCCTGCTCCTCTGCCTCTGGGTTTCTGAAACATGGCTGTCTCCTTCCTTCAGAACCAAGGTGGCACCACTGCCCTGTTATGACCACGGGGGGGGGGTGCTGCATGGTGATCACCCCTGTTCCCCAAGCCTCCATCCACACCTCCGCAATCAGGGCTTTATTATAAGGTACCATCGTCTTTCCCAGTTTGATGGTGCCATCTGTTTGCTGGGGGGGGGTGACTAATTAGGGACACCCAGTCCACAGCCCACACGGGTTTCTCTCCATCAGCCCGTAAGACTATCTGAGGAGGTGTGACTGGGGCCGTCCTCCTTCCTCACTGTTAGGGTTGAATGTGGAATCTTCTATCCCTTCACCCTCCACTCACATATTTAAACCCTTGGGCCCCAGCTGCTGACACTCTTCTGGGAGGTTATGGGACCCTTTGGGCGGGGCCTAGGGGTGGGAGGCTGAAGACCAGCCAGCCTCTAGTCCAGCTCTCTGCTTCCTCCCTGCCAGCCAGCACAGGTAGCCCATCTTCCCAAGCCTCAGTGGCCCCATCTCTGCCCCACCATGAGACTTTGTAACACTTAAAACTTTAGGGCAGAGGGAATCTTTTTTTTTTTTTTTTAATTGCCTCTGTTGGGCATTTTGGCATAGCAAAGAACAAAAGACAAAAGTAACACTGTCATTCTTGTCAACCCCACAACCCTTCCTCATGCCCTTGCTGCAGACCCAGGTCTAACCACCACCCCTCAGCTTCCTGGCCTGGCACTTTATGTGTGTTGCGGGGGGAGGGGGAACGACAACACTAGGCTAGAAACACAGCCTGGGCTCTTCTCTACCACAGTCCCCAGACCTTAATTCTATAAGCATATAACAGATCCCCATATTCTATAGCAGAAGTTCCATTCTCATTATGATTTTTTTATGTGAATTTATTCTTCAAGTCTCTCCCGAATGAGTAACTGCCAGATCAATGTCACTCTGTCTACCTGGGTCCCAGCACAGTCCATCTGCAGCTCAGGTGCAGGACATGATGGGGATAGGGAAGGGGAGAAGACTTGGCTTCCAGGAGAAACCAGAGACAGAGAGGGAGGCCGTGGCCACTCGCACAACTCACACCCAGGTCACCCAGACACACAGCAGGAGGCTGCAAGAAAAGCCCTCAGCTGAGCCTATAGACCTGTCCTGCCTTCCCCTTCTTCCCCTGCTCTACGGGGCTGTAGAGCCTGAAAGGCAGGATCTGAGGAGCAAGACACCTAGGAAATGGAATATGGGGTGCTGATAGCCAAAGCAGAGTGTGGGACGAACAAGGGCTTCAGCTCTGCAAGTTGCAGCAGAATAGGGTGCCATACCAGAACTGGGGGTAAGTAACGGGCACATCACTGAATGCTCCAGGGTCAGATCTTTGGAACTGAATTCCAGATAGGTTTTGGGGAGGCGAATTTCTTATCTTTGGAAATTACCCCCACAGCTAGAGGCAGAGACCCTGGCAGCCTTATATGGATCACGTGATCCTCACCCTAGCCACAGCTACCCACACCAAGGCTGATGGAAATACACCAACAAGGAACTCTCCTATAGCAATTTGATAACTGGGTCAAGCCAGTCTTGACAGAGGAGCCTACAGCGTGGTTCTGAGAATGTGGTCACCTTCTGCCTGCGTGGGTGAGGACAATCTGAAGACACTCAAGTGACAGGAAACATGGAGAGTAAAGACTCCCAGGGGTGTCAGGAGCCCCCCAGATCTAGCTCCTTCCTGAGACCCGATAGCATTCCACTCTCATGAGCCACCCTCTCTACGTCCCAGGTTTAAAGATTTACTTTTGTGTACAAGTGTTTACCTACATGTAGGTCTGCGTACCGTGTGCCTGGCTGGTGTCAGAGGACATCAGAAGAGGGGATCAGATCCCCTGGAACTGGAGTTACAGACAGCTGTGAATCTCTATATGACTGCTGGGAATTGAACCCAGATCCTTTGAAAAAGCAGTCAGTGCTCTTGACTATTGAGCCATCTCTCCTGCCCCTGTTTAAAAAAAAAAAAAAATCTGTTTTTCACTTAAGCCAGTCACCAGGAACTGGTCCCTGGTCATAGACATAGCTCTTTGTACCTATTTCCTATTTCCTTTTCAGCGTAGCTTTTGCATGATAGCGGGGCTGGGCCCCAGTCTTCCACCACACACACAGGTGACCAAGGAGGAAGAAAGGACGTGGCTGATGGGCATGCAGGGATCACTTCTTCCCAGCTGGTCCATTGACAGGATGCATGATGCCCTGCTAAGCACCTGGACCTGCCTGCGGCTGTTTAGCACCTTTTAGCCTCATGCCAAGGAGGGTGGCGTTGGGAGACAGGTGGGAGCTGAAGGATGAGTAAGGATCAGCCTCCGCCGCTGACCTCCAGGTCTGAACCTTTCTGTTTCTTTAGTTATCTGTTCTGGGAACAGA